CAGATCCTGAGGGTGCCCAGTTGGCACCAGGACTCACCAGGAAGGGACATCTTGCAAGCACCATACTACACTCTGGTATGTAAAGAACACAAAAGAGACAGAAACCACTAAAAAATAAGTCACCATCCCAACAGGAAAACCACCAGAAATATAAATGACCCCTCAACATTTGAAGAGAGGACCCACCTCCGTCATAAGATGCAAATTCAAACCATGCAGAGAAACTTTCCACCTGCTACACTAAGACCACAGTTCTCCACCAAGCATGCAGAAAACATGCACTGCCTAGAAGGGGGACCCTCCCATGTCCCAGGGCTTGCTCCTCAAAACCATAATATTCCACTCTTGGAGACTTATCCTTCAACTACATCTGAGTGAAATTACTGCTGTGCAGTGCAATTTGTAACAGCAAAATATTAGAAACAACCTGGACATCCATCAGCAGAAATTAGACTATAACACACCATCCTACGGGTTGCTGTGGTTACAGAAGAAAACAGGCTGCTCCATATACTGGTGTAGGTTCATTCATATAGAACATATCAACAAGGGACCACCAGGGGGAAAGAGCAACAGCAGAGACTGCTGTCCTGATACACAGCTCACATTCCTCATTTTATTTAAAACTATCACAACTTTCTCTGCACATTTAAAATAAGCTGCACCCCAATAAATGACCCACAGCCTTTGACACTAACACATTTCACGCCATTCCCTGCCATTCCCTGACTTCCTTTCTCCACCCAGCCAGAGCCAGACTCTGGACAGCTGCTCCTATAAATGCCTGCGTCTCCCCACCCTCCCTGGAGTACAGAGCCCCCAACACCCTGGGCCATTCCAGCTGCCGAGCTTCCTCCCAATCTGAGAACACACAGGACCAGACTTCCTCCACTGGCTTCCAGGACAGAGCCTTCCTGGATCCCACTGCCTCTTTGTCTTACCTATCTATCCCCTCTGCTGCATCGCCCCTCCAGTCTCCTGGCCTAATTTAAATACCATGTCCATGCCCAGGGAGCAGTCCCAGACACAATTCTTCCCTGAGCACCACAATCTCACACTCAAATTTCTACCTCGAGGACTGCTTCCCACAGGCAATGCCACTTTCTTGATGACCCCTCCATTCATCCTGGTCTCCACCTCTGCGTGAGCCAAGCAGCCCTCCTACGCTCAGGGAAGTTGCCCTTGCCTCCTCCGTCCCCCTATCTGGCCCAGCAGCCAGCTTTCCTTGGCACTGGCCATGCCCCAGTTCCACAGGGCTTCCATGTGAACCTTCAGGCAGCCTCCTGCTTTTCCTCTGTGGTGGCCTCCTACTTTGCAGCCACAGGGACCCTTTCAACACTAGGCAGAGCATGTCCCTGTCTGCTCTGATCAAAGCCCTCCCACCACCCTTTTCCACAACTCAGGAAGAGCCAAAATCCTCAGCAGATTCCGGGGCCTACAAATTCCCCAGCTGGTCCCGCCCGACCTGCTGCCTGCCTCAGGGTCTTTGCACTTGCTCCCCGCACAGTCATGCCAAGCTTCCTCTGGGCCTGCCTGCCCTTACCTGTCTGCCTGTTGTGCAGTTTTCCTTGGCCTCCCCTAGACCTCCCCAGTTCTTCCTACTTCCGCATATGTGCGGCTGAAGCAAACATGCTCTTCAGTTTTCCCTTAGTACTTACCGAGCTCTAACACTGTCTGCACATGTGACTTATTGCTGTCACCTATGCCTATCTCCCCGACCAAGAGGGAAGCACTGTGAGGTCAAAGATGGGGAATTGTGTCTGTCTAATCACGCTGCTCCAGCCTCCCAAGTGTTGGGATTACAGACCTACATATCTGGCCTGGTACATATTTTTTTAGTGTTTCTTCACTTAAACCTTTGTCTGGTTCTAAGATCCAGTATTTTCGGGAGCTAAGAACCAATGAGACACATTAATGTATTTAGAAAAAAAAAAAAGACTGCATGCCTGCAGGTCCTGTATGACCCCTTCAAGGTCTCACATTTTATTTCCCTCTGCCCTCCTTCCCAAATCTATTTCTCTTCACAGAATCAGCCACTGGATACCCTAAAATTGATATGTTTACTTATTTATTTAAGGTCTGTTTCCTCCTACCACCATCTTTAGAAAATACAACATGGAGGAGAAAAACTGAAAACGAAGTCTTTAAAAAAACAAACAGCCCCACATAAGAAATATAAAGTAGTCAATGAAGCCTCCAGAAGTCGTGCAAGGCTGGGCTGGGGAAGGCCACGACCTTGCAGCCCTAGCTTCTCCAGGAGCACCAGGGACTTGCATGCCCCAGGTAGGGCAGGACTTTGAGTTGACTCCAGGCTCAACACCAGGAGCCAGGCAGGTCCCTTCCCTTCCACTCCTGTCAGGCTCATATCTCCAGGGGTCAACAAAGTCCCCTGTAAGATCTGGTTCTGGACTTGGCCAGGCCAGGAAAATGCAAACCTGCTGGTACACAGAGAAAGGGAAAAAAATTTCAAAAGACTATAGAGAAAAAAAGAAAAACTAACGGGGGGGGGGGAGGAGAGGGAAGAAAAGAAACTAGGAAGAGACTTTAAAATAATTATTTAGGGGGTGGGGAGATGGCTCAGTGGAATAAGCACTTCCCTGGCAAGTGCAAGGGCCTGAGTTCAACCCCTGGTTCCGCCACAAAATAAAATAAAGTAAGGATTTAATGTAGCTTGAAAGAAGGAATATTGAAAAATACATAACAGGCCAGGCATATGGCACATGCCTCTCCCAACCCTTGGGAGGTTGGGGCAGGAAGATCACAGTGACTTTGAGGCCAACTTGAATCATACAGTGTGTTCAAAGGTAGCCTGAATTACATAGTGAGACCCTGTCTCAAAAACACATGCAACAAATAAAATAAAAACACACATGTACAAGACATTAAGAAAAAAAATTACAGAAATAAAATATAGAATCATTGCAAAAAAATTCAATAAAGGTTGGTGCAGTGGCACACGCTTATAATCCCAGCACTCTGAGAGGCTGAGAGGCAGGAACATCAGGAGTTCTAGCCCAGCCTGAGTAATATGGAGACAAAAAGAGAGAGAGAGACAGAGAGAGACAGAGAGAGACAGAGAGACAGAAAAAAAAGAGAAGAGACAGAGAGAGACGGGGACCAGGAATATAGTTCAGCAGAACAGAACCTGTCTGGCAAGTACAAGGACCCGAGTTCAATCCCCAGTACCACAAAGAAAACAAATAATAAAAAGATAGGAGGTAAGTAGCTCAGTGTGAATGTCTTGGGTTTAATCCCCAATACTGGAGGGGGTGGGGTCAATGAAGAGACAGGGCTGTACACAAGCAAAGTACCTGGAAATCCTTGAGGAGTCACCTAGCAAGCAGCACTGGAGAAGGTTACACAAGCCACAAGGAACCAATGAAAGAAAAGAGGGGCCAGGTGGCTCCAGTGTGCAATTAGCAAACATTCATTCAGGATTGAGGGCAAAACATGACAACTTTCAGAGCACAGAGACTAAAAGTCATATTCTGAAGACCTATGGTATAGTCTACAAAAAAGGTGACAGAGTGGCAGGAGAGGCATCTGAGAGTCAACAGGGACAATGAAACTGCAGGTGTGTGCATCACTGGAGGATTCAGTGCTAACTGCAAAATATCTCGACTTCATAGCTAATAACTAAACCATTGCTGGCACAGTGGTACATGATTGTAATCCCAGCTCAAGAGGCTGAAGCAAGATCGCCAGAGTTCGAGGCCAGCCTAGGCTACTACATAGTGAGTTTTAAGGCCCGCCTGAACTACAGAGAGATGTTGGAAAGGAGGAAGGGAAGGAGGGAGGGAGAGAAGGAGAGGAGGCCAGGCATGGTCATTCATGCCTGTAATCCCTGCACTCGGGAGGCTGAGGCAAAAGGATTGCTGTGAGTTTGAGGCCAGCCTGGGCTACACAGCAAGACACTGTCTTAGAAAAACAGAGACAGAGACAGAGGAGGAGGAGGAAATGAAAATGAAGAGGAGTGGGAGGAAAAGAGAGATTAGACAAAAACTAAATAAAAATACAATCATGGAAAGGCAATGAGTGGCTAAAATGGGCAAGCTCTTACAAAGTGAGAGGGTGGCCGTGTAGACTGGCACAGGTCAATACCTACAGAGGGAGCTCCCTCTTGCTCTTCAGAGATGGTCTAATTCAAAGTTAACAACCAATTATTGAATGAACTAAACTGTCTCTGCCCCTAGAAAACGTGTCAACCAAAGCCACCAATAGGACAGAAATTCCAGCTTCAAAACTTTCACTTACAGGCAGAGACAGTACTGTGAAATCAGAACTCCTCCGTATGCTAACAAGGTAAACATCAAAATGTGAATGCAATTAGTTAACCAGAGTACTTCAAGACGCTGTGTGCATGTCTAATACCCTAGAATGACATTCTTGCCATCAACCACATTTCCAATCCTAAGAGAAAAAAACACCTTGAGGTATCCTCTCACTGAAGCCCTTTTTCCCCCTTTTTAAATGAATACTTTATGGGTAACTTGATATAGATATAGATATAGATATAGATATATATCAAAGAATAATCTACATTTGTGAAAAAATACTGGCACTGAACACAACAGAGAGGTGAGACCAGCCTTCTCTGCCCGTCATGGCTGCCGCAGGTAAGACCACATCTACCCAGGAGGCTGCCATCACAATACCAAGTATAGACACTGGGCTCCACGGCACGGCACTCATTCTCCCACCTTGCAATGCAAGCAGAAGCTGGGTTACAGTTTATTTCAAACATTTTTGGAGGGAAAATGAAGGCTCCAGTGTCTTCCTATACACGGCAAGCACTGGGCCAGCAGTGTGGGCTCCCTGCCTGCAGGAACCAGCAGGGGTTGGCAACTCCAGAGTCAGCTCAGCTCAGCCAAGACCACAGAAGGTGCTGATCTCGGTGCTGCACCCATCACTGAAAACACAAATGTTAGAGCCCATCCCATAATGAGTCCATACAGAAAACTGCAGAACGATGGAAAAATGGAAAAGTGCAATGCTATTACCGGAAGAGTGAAGAAGGCAGGGTGCTTTGCTTCATCTTCGTATTTGCCTTCCGTGGAGCTCCCAGCCTCCATCGACTTGGAAGTAGTATTCTTGCCAATACCCATCATGAAGAGAAGCCGAGCAGTCGTGCGCTGCCACTGGCTGGAGTGGGTGCAGTGAAGGCTTATTCTAGCCAGGAACCTAGGTTAAGACTCGGCTTCCAGTGCCTAGAGCACCCAACTCTCAGATGGAGATGAAACCTGTGAGCGCCATTTCTTAGCACCTGTAAGAAACAGAGAAGCCAAATCACCTGGAAGCACACAGCACGGGATCTGGGGTCACTGAGTTCCCTGCACAGAGAAAAGTCACAGTGAATATTATGCCCAAACTTTACATACAATTTTCAAAGACCCACTCTATTTATAGTCACTGCTTTTGAATGCCCTGAAATGGACTGTCACAAGAATCACAACAGTACTTGTGAAAACACGGCTCTAGTAGGCCTCTGATACATTGTGGTGTACACACCTTATAACCCAGCACTACCTAACAGCTGTCTGCACCAATGGAAATGCTAAGTATGCGTCCTGTCTAACAGTTGTCCCTGGTCACAGCTGGAGCAAATGAGGAGCTGACTTGAAAGAAGCCAGGATATTATTAATCAAATAATAACATAAATCAAAAAGTAATTCATACCCTTCCCCTTGCCCCCAAAGAGGAAGTATTGTGTTAAGAAACAAGAAGAGATGGGAGAGCAGTCAGCACCCCTAGACCCAAGATGGACTTGATGAATCTAGAAAACCTCACCAACTCTGACACTGTTCAAGAAAGAAATAACCTCTTATAGTCAGGGCTTACAAGGGAAAAGATTTAATATGGGACACATTTTATAGGATTATTTTATAATATTCACCAAAGTGTCAAACAAATCCAAAAGAGCGTGGGAGATCTATCTGTACATGGAAGACCCAAAAAATCCAGCAATGGCCCGGATCCCACAGCAACGTCCTGCATGAGCCCAACCAGAGGCCTAGAACCCACAGCAACACCTCATGAAGGTCTGTACCAAGGACCTGCCCTGGGAAGGCCCAAAGGTCAGTGGTGGGAGCTAGAAAGTCCGCACCAGCAGGGTGAAGGCGCTGTGCCCACAGGCTGAGGGATCCGCACTGGAACCCGGAAGCAGTGCTCAAGGTAAGCACCAGAGCTCTGCTAACAAGAACCACAGCCACCCTTAGTGACAGTGAGGACCCAAGCTCCTCTGATGATGAGAACTACTGAGCTCCTATCAGGAGAGCCAGTGTGCCCAGCTTCTCCAGGACCACCAACAGCACACCGTCTTCTCCAGTTCTCCTTTTATCCTGCTGGCGGCAATCCTCAGGTGGGCCTTCCACACTCAGAAGCATGCTGACTCAGTTCAGTGGGATGTTACAAATTGAGCGTTAGATAATCTGCCACGCGAACATTCCAAAATGAAGAGGAAACTCTAAGCAAGGCTTGACACAACACTATAATCCAGCACCGTAGAGGCTGAGGCACAAAGATCACAAGTTTTTTGTTTTTTTTTTTTAGGCTAGAAGTTGTCGTTAGTTCTTCCCCCCCCCCATAATTTTATTGATAAACAAATAGCAATGAGACAGTTTCAAATCAAATTGGTAGGGCAGTTTCAATAATTCACACATTGCATACATTCTTTCTAATGGTAAATTGCTGTACAAGATGCAGACATGATATCCTATTTACAAACACCAAGATCACAAGTTTAAAGACATCATAGACTAAAACAGGAGACCCCGTCTTTCAAAAAACAAAAAACAAAATCTAAGAGAAAGACAAATCAGGATGCTTCTGGAACACCTAGGCAACTCATTTTTGGTGAAGCAGCAGAAAATTAAATCCCAATTTCAAAGCACGAATTATGACATAGACAATGAAAGACATCCACCTAGATAAATAAGCATTTGCAGCATCTGACTTCAAAAACTGAGGGTGCATGGGCTCCTTACCAGGGCTGGCACACATACAACTCAACATGCCTCAGAATGCCTGGATTTCTAAGAAGAAAGGTGTGCTGCAAGCAGCCAGGGTGGGGAGGGCACAGCACCTTCAATGGCCAGATTCCGGGGACATCAGCTCCTAACCACAAGTTAGTTTCCCGCAGAGAATTACCCAGCCCTCCACCCTGCGAACGCACCACTGGCTGCAGAGAGGGTGCAGATGCTGACAGAGGCACAGCTCAAGAGTGGCCACAGAGACTTCATTCACACATACTTTGACTGAGCCAGGGAAAAGTGAAATGCAAACAAATAAGAGCGGATTATGCAAAAGTCGAGTCCTATAGTTGGAGATCAGAAAGGACTTGCCCCAACTTCAAGTTACATCAGAGAAAGAGAAGCTGAGTGGACCTCGCCCGCTCTTCTGAGGCAGGATGCTGGTTTACATTTTATCCACAGCTGTTTAAACCAGCTGTTCTCAGCCCAGAGGGATCCTTGCACTCTCGGGGAATAAGGGCAAGGTCTGGAAGCCGTAGGCCTCACAGCTGGCAACAAGCCAGCCGCATGATGCTTGGGGCGGAGCTGCTGCACATCATCCAGGGCAGAGGACAGAGGCTTAGGCAGGGACAGCATGGCCACAACTGGGGAGAGAAAGCATAGAGCAGTGACTGCTGATACAGAAGTGTATCCTTGGAGCTGTTCTGGGACAAGTCCCCAGAACACAGAGCATGCCACCCCAAGCACCAAGGCTGAGGAAGGGGGCCTCAAGGCCAGGAACCTCACACCAGCCTGAGATCAGAGGGCCTGTTGGTATGGCAGGAAGTCAGGACGGGCAAATGCCAAGGCCCTTGGGCAGAATGCTCAAGATGAAAGGAAAGCAGCAAGGCCAGAGCAGAGTAAGGGTCTGCACTGGATTGGCGGTAAAATACGAAGAATCTCCCAGGAATTCAGTGTAGGGTGAAGGTCACCAACCCAAGGTGTTCCACTGCCCTTTTCTTGCTGCTTGCAAAACCAGAAAGCACCACAATCCCAGCACTCCAGAGGCCAGCCTGTGCTATGTAATAAGACTCTACCTACCAAAAAAAAAAAAAAAAACCCCAGAAAACAATGAGCAAGCCACAAGACAAGACATGGTCTTGTCCTGACTGCCTAAGAGAGAGGGGAAGGAGGCGACAAAGGATGAAAGACCATGATGACAACAATGCCAGTAATGACAGTTTTCCACTGCTAGGGGTCTACCTGGGGCAGGAACTCATTATATAAATGGCCCTTATTTCTGGCCCATGACTAATATCACTTGATTTGCTTATTAATTCTACAAAGTGAGCCTCAAAGAAAAGAGGTAAAGTATCTCAACAAAGGACTCGCAGCCATAAGCAGTGGAACAGGATTCAAACTCGAATGAGGATTTCTAGTCTGTCCTAACTGCTTCTACAGGGAGGCGCAATGCTGTCCTTTCCCTGCTTGGCTTCCAGCCACCCACCCATGAGCACAGCCACTGTGCGGGCTGGGCACACAGCTGAGGGTCTGTTCTGGAGGTGCTGCTCTGCCCTGGCAGTTGCCTGGCTGGGCATCAGGTGACCATCCCTTGCTGCACTGCAACTGCTGTAACAGTCCTCAGATCCCATGAGGGGCTGGCTGAGGTGAGGGGCACCTGCCCTCCTGGCATGAGGAAGCCCAGCCTGATGCTCTCTTCCCCACACGGCCTCTCAGCATCACCCAACAGCCACTGAAATCCTATTTGTTTTTTGAGAATTGACTGGCCCTGGATTGAACCCAGGGCCTTCACACTGAACTATACCCTAGTACTTTTTATTTTTAATTTTGAGATAGGGTCTTTCTAAGTCACTAAGTTGTCCAGACTGGGTTCAGATTTTCAGTCCTCTTGTCTCAGCCTCCCAGAGGGCACGACTGCCATGTCGAGCCACTTGCTCCATCCTGATCCATCCTCAGTCATTCTACCTGTTTCTGCACAGCTTCTAATTAGTTTTAGCCTTCACCAACCAAGCTGAAAGTTGTCACCCCCTCAGCCTCCCTCCCTGTCTCTCCTGACCCTTGAACGTGTCAGCCCTGCTAGCTCTGGCTCTTGTACATGCTGTCCCCCCAAAACAAACACCTGCATCATCTTATACCTTTCTACAGAGGCAGCTCCTATCCACAGTTCCTCTGACTGACCCCTCAAAATGGTGTCTGAGGACCATTATGATCAGTGAAAGGTAACATCCACCTGCTGCCCAGCCAACACTGAGGAACAAGAAGACCTACACCCCCTTTGATGAATTTGCCTTGCATATTAGAGGATTCCTGAATTTGTAGAATGATGTGTGCTTAATATGTAACAATCATAACTTTTTTTTTTTTTAGACAGTATCTTGCTGTGTAGTTCAGGCTGGCCTAGACTCACTATGTAGTCCAGGCTGGCCTCAAACTCAGTAATCCTTCTGCTGCAGCCTCCAGAGTGTTAGGATTACAGGCATGTGCCACCACACTTTAACAGAAAATGGTCCCCTTAGCCAGGATACTTCAGTTTGTTAGTTGTCCAGGCACAAGTACCTATTCCGGTTTGAGATGCTCCGGTCTCTTAGAAATGGCTGGTCGCACTGTGATATGTAGCTGGTCACTAAGGTGCACATGGTATAAACCAATCCCCAACTGACAAGCCATTCTCCCTCTCAACTTCCTGCTTGCTCCTCTCATATAAACCCAGACCACCAGAGATATTCTGATATCAGGGCCTGATATTCTAGGAATGATCCCGATCACTGCCCGTCTGTGTAAATAAGTCTGCCTCCAAATCCTTATTTCAGTGTTTGTACTTGCCAATGAAACACCTGGCTTGTAATAATCTTCTTGTTCCATGCTTTGGTCACCTCAAGCCTACCCATGAGAGGACAGGTACACTAATGTCTGGCTCAAGGTGGGTGCGTTACCATCACCACTGTCACTGCACAACGATGGAACAAAATGACGGACTTGAAGAGACCAAATCCTAACTATCCTAAGGGATATGAAAGTTCCGCACTTAGTCTGCTAGTTCCAAATGACATGAGCAGTGAATCAAACAGCATCCACATCCCACTGGCAAATGACAACCCCAGTCCCTTTTGAGTACATGGTCTCTAGCTAAGGAGGAGTTTACATTTTTAAAGGATTGCAAACTACAACAAAAAAGTATATGTGGGGCTGGGGAGATGGCTCAGTAGAATAAGCACTTGCGTGGCAAGTGCAAGGTCCTGAGTTCAATCCCCGGTACCACAAAAAAAAAAAAAAAAAAAAAAAAAAGAGTACATGT